AAACAGAAGTAATTGGGTGGTATGCTGGGATGGTGCATATGGATGGAGAGGGGGGCATTAGAATTCTGAAACTTGGAAAGGCAAGGTTAAAGACAAATTAACAACCTAGTGGCACCTGAGTGGATAGTCTACCGGTATCTCTTGATGAACTCACCTCACTGGGAACATTGTGCAGGTAACGACAGCGATAATAATATATGATAGGTTAGAAGCACCTGCCGTCCGGGAATCACCTTTTAAGATATTATGCCTTGCGATTACCCTATGATAGGGCACCAGTGTGATCCAGTGATAATATCATACTTACAAACACGGTGATTGGAGTTGACTGTTAACCTATCCCAAACCGGGTAGCGTGACGTCAACGAAGCCAAGAGTCACTAGCAGGGAAGTCCAAGCACGCAACCAGTCAACCGGTCAACCGCTGAAAAGACAAACTGCCCTTAGATCAAAGCCATTTTTCGCTACGTACCAAATTCAAATCCCCTTGTTACGATTCCCTCTCTCCACCACAATCACCCTCCGTAGGGTAAACACCTCACCTGTCCCTTTACCTTTCCTCTCATCATCCTTTCCCCCTCCCTCTCTCCCCCCCTCCATCAATCCATCAATCCTTCTGCTCTCTACAACTTGAACATCATAGTAGCAAACACACCATCACCTACCGCTCACCGCCATCATCACCATGTCCAGTTTCGATGGATCTGCCTCTTGGGCAGAAGTTGCCGCTGGTGGGCCTCCGCAGTCTGAGGAAGAGGTGTGTAATCGAAGCCTTTTATCTTTCAACCTATTTTTTCCCCAATAGGTATTGAAGGTTTTCGATAGACTAACATTTTACACCACATAGGCGTACGTTGTCTCCCGAATTTCTATAAAACCCGAGTAAAAAGTGGATAGTAGCTATAAAGTGCTAACCAGTAATAGTCGTGCCAACCCCGTCGACGAGGTTATTACCACCGAATCCTCCGTCGAATCGCTCGTAGATGTTGACTCTGGCGTCTCTGTCGTTCCTTCCGAATTCTTGGAGCAAGAGGTGCCCCTCGCACCCCATCCTTTTCCCGCAACCCCCTATACTAAGCAAACCCCCTCAGGTCAAAACAGGAACGCAAGCCACAAGAATAGAGCTCGAAAGGGACGCCCAAGCCACCAATGACACAGCTATAGAAGAGGAAGCGATAGCCCATGAGCAGGAAGAAAAAGCAAAGAAGGGGAAGAAACAGGGGGCAATGCCTTGTCCCGGGAACCCTGTCGTTGCTATCAACGCTGTTAGCGTTGCAGGCGTGTCGGTGCTGTTGATGATTGGGGCGTACAAGAAGCGTCAGGCGGGATCGCTCACGTGGAAGCTTGTGGGATTTTGGACTGTAGGATTGGCGGCATTCGGGACGGCGGATTATTTTCTTTCTAGGTATGGGATATCTGTCTTGTGGTTAAGGGGGTAATGGGTGTAATGGCTAATGGTAGGGGTAGCTATCTCTTCAAGAAATACCCGCCAAGAAGCAAATAAGTTTCTCTACCAACAATATGAAAAGGCGGTAGTGGTAGGCTGAGGTGGGAGAGTGGAGTTTGTGGGGCTAAACACCTGCATTCTTCCCCTTGACTTGCGATCTTGTTTTCATACTCTCTTCTCTTCTATTTGGGTACCGAATCCTCGACAGTTGAATTTCGGAATATTTGGAACGTCTTCTCTTCTCTTCTCTTTTTTTCTACTCCCTCTTCTCAAATCACCAGGTTTTTCTGTTCTTTGCATCCAGTTGGTCATTGAATATACACTACTACCTGGAGGGTAAATTTTTGATTAGAAAGTGTCTTGCGTTGTTCAGCCGGTAGCACGTGAAGGTGCCGTATGACATATCCTAGCAGCAAACCGAGCGTGGTGCAACCTCGGCAGTAACGTAGGGAGGGGAAGAGAGAGTCGCCCGTTCTAGGATATATCCTTGATCTTGTGGGCTCGGTCTGATCCTTGTTTCAAATATCAGTCAGCTACGGTGCAGCAGCACTTGTGCGTACCTTTTGAAATGGTGCCAGCCCGGTATAATACACTGGAAACCCAGCACCCTGCCTGAATCACGAACATGCATGGCCCCTTGGCTTCGGTTCGACGTGATATTGTGCCAGAGTTTGTATGATGTGCCATGTGGTGTGGGTGATATAGGTTAACTTAATCTCGACGTTAAATTAAATCCACTAGAAATTGCCAAAAGAAGACGCTAAAATTTAATTATGATGATCCTGTTCCTACGAGCTCCGAGTGATGCTTTGTGATCATAGAAAGCATACACAATTCGTCGTAATGATCTACAGGCCTCTTTAAATACGGTATTCACGTCTCGACTTTATTAAGGGGAGGGTGGAAAGAAAAGAAAGGAAAAAAGGATTATTAGTAACTTACTGTAGTCTAAGGACTGCGGTGTGGGGTGGGGGGTGGGAAATAGTCTTGCTAGGAGTCAAACCTGGAGTATCGTACGGGAATCAGAATCCCAAGTGCTAGTAGACCACTACGAGGCTGGGTTGCATGGTTTGAGTAGATGGTGATTAGAAGTGTGCTTGTATGAGTTCCGAAATTATCATGACAAAAAGGAAGGGGATCCAAAAAAATAAATCGTGTATTCTCGTTTCCATGCAATGTATATGATATATAGAATGTCGGTATAATACACCCCTTCCCCGTAAATTAAACTAAACACCGACTTCCCCGGCACGGCTAGCCCCTCTACTCCCCTCCGTAAGCCTTAGTGCTTCATCAATACTCCCAACAAAGTGCTCCCTACCGCCGACCCTCTCCATAATCCCGCTCTCAACGAAGCCCATCCAAAGGCGAGAATTCACGCTGGGAGCTCGGGAGAACCACACGGCGACACCCTGCTTCACGTACCCGTCCACTATCTCGCGGAGCACCTGTGTACCGCTGCCGTCCATGCGCTTCACGCCCTTCACGTCGAAGATCACGTTGTTCGTGCCACCCCCTCCGGTATCGCCCAGGCCCCGGAGCCTGGGTAGTGAGGGGTGCGCGCGCACGTCTCCGTAGCGCTCAAGCCTTCGCAGGCGGTTCTTCAGTTCGCCAGTGTTGGCGAATGTTAGTGCTTCTGTCATCTTCACGATCAGGCAGCCTTCAACTTCTTCCAGTTCTGAGGCGGGGACTTCCTCCGCGGACTTGAAGGTGTCTGTCCCCGGCACGCGGCCGAGGATCTCGATGCGCGCGTGCGTGCTGTTGCGGATTACCTGGATCAGCGAGATGCCGACACCGATTGCAATGCCGGTTTCTAGCGACCAGATTATTGTGGTTAGGAAAACCAGAAGCATTGTTGCTAGGTCGCCGTATGCGCGGATGCGGAAAAAGAAGGATATATCCTCTGGGGCTTCTTCTAGGAGGGATACGGCCACCACTGAGATCATGGCACAGAGGACGCAGCGCTATGGTATAGTCAGTTTTGGTGGTTGGGGTGAGAGGAGGGGGGAAGGGGCTTACGGGGAGGTAATAGAAGTATGGGAGGACAAAGTAGACGCAAAGGATTGTGAGTGTGCTTAGGACCATGCTGCTGACGGGTGTTTTGCCGCCGGTGGCTTTGTTGACTTTACTACGACCGTACCCACCGAATGCTGGGAGGGCCTGAAAGCACCCGCCTAGCATGTTCGCTGTGCCTAAGGCTATGAGTTCTCTATTTGAGGAGATGTTGAGGTCGAGCGTTGTTCCTAGACTCTTGGCGGCTACAACGGACTCGAAGAATCCCAACACGGATATCAGGAATGCAGTTGATAGGGTTTCTCTGAGCTTGGTAACATGCTGCAATTGGAACGGAAAATGGAACCGGAAAACACCGCCAGATGTGTCTACATTCCCTAGAATATCGAGTCCCTGCTTATCCCAGCAGAGCACGTATGTGAAGATTGCCGAGAGAATCACGACGAGGAAGCGGTCGGGGAGAAAGACGATGTATGGTGCTCGCTTTTCAAACTTCTTCTTTAAATGACGGCCAATTATTATTATGCTGAAGGATACGCCTGCCACGGCGAAGGTCAGGCCGTGGGCGTTTTTGAAGTTCTTGATCAGCCAGACTGCTTTTGCGAATGTGCTAGCGTGGGTGATACCCTGCTCCTTGGCAAGGTTGATTAGACCTGCTTCTGGCTATTTACTGGTTAGCATCGCAGGGTTGGGGTCGAGGGGGGGGGGTGCATACAATCAACTGGTCCACGAGGATGACAAATCCAACAGCGGAGATAAAGCCTCGCAATAGCGGTCGACTGAGAACACTGTCCAAGAACCCAAGTCGGACGAAGCCAGCTACAAACGCAATTAATCCAGTCATGGCAGTGATGAGCCCCTACCACCTCTTCAGCACATTGACATGCACAAATCATGTCGCAATCATACATACCGCAAGCCTAGCATTCTGAAAATCGCTTCCGTCGTGATCGTCGAACGGAGATCCATGGTGCTCGTTCGTTAGCCTAATTGCCGAGCCTAAGAGTAGTGACCCTGCAGCCTCAGGGCCGACAGCCATAGTAGGACAAGATCCGAGAAGAGAGTAAACCTAGGCCTGGTTAGTTGCATCGCGCAAGCAAGAATTTCAAGTTCCCATACCAACGGCTGAATGGCGAACCCATACAACCCGTGAATAGGCGGTAAATGCGCCAGATTCGCCGAGAGCGAGAGTGCCATTGGGATGTAGAATGAAGCCATAGTCACTGTTGTAGTACCTGCTGTTAACCGCCAACCCGCCCCCGGAAAAATATTGGGTAAAAAACAGAAATAAAAAAAAATAAAAAAAAATAAGAAACGAGCGAATAAAAGACTAAGGAATAAAAAACTAAGGGGACAAACCTCCAGCAATGACATCTCCGAGTAAAAAACTCCACTCATACCTCCCGACCCAGCCAATACATGGTATGTAGTAACTCATGTACATGAGCCATGGCCTCTTGACCCCCGCGTTCTCCGCCAACTCCGCCGTCGTCGTGGCTCGTTTAAGGAAGGTCCCACGTCCGGAAATACCTGAGCGTATCGAGTCAGTGGGCTCCGACCCTGCGGTTATAGGAACGACGCGAGGAGAGCCTGGACGGGAGTCGCGGAAGTGTTGGGAGGTGAAGGTACCATGATCGGTACTTCCTTCGGAATCGCGGATCAGCCGGGTGAATGGGTTTGGATCGGCATGATGGGATTTCACGGGTCTGCTGGGACTGGTCATTGTCGGAGGTGGGGGAGAGAGGGGGGGAAGAAGAAGAGGAAGGTATACGAAGGAAAAAGTAGACAGCCTTTGGTTATGTGGGGTTCATTAAGGAGGAAGGTAACAAATGGAATGGACAGTCCTTCACAGTGGTCTTCGAGGGAGGGGCGCTGTGTGAGGTAGAGTGGTAGGGGTGAGAGGGTGAGAGGGGTGAGAGGGGCGAGGCAGAAGGGGAGAGGAAAGGAAAAAACAAAGGAGGTTCACCCTGAGTACTGTGTCGGTGTCATACTCGTACTGTACATACCGGCAGCCTAGATATTAATTCCTTCCTTTTTCCCAGGTTCTTTTCGCTCCCCTCCTGCATCACGGACTTCCCCCGGGTTAGCATATCGTAACGCCAACACAAAAAATAATAACGCTGTGCGGTAACGCATAACGAACCCTGCATTTGACATCCAAGCTTTTTTTCTTTTTACCCTTCCCACATGACATGAGTTAAAAAGTTACCGATATAATTTTCGACCAGTAACGGTGGCAGTGGTCGCTCACATCAGCTTTAAACGTATTATTTGTATGATACTGTACTAGAGTAACGGAGCTCCCTCAAGATCGGATGCAAGACCCAAGTTTGGTTTTTTTCTTTTCCGTTTCCCGAGTTGCCTTTACCTAAGGGATGCCTTTATTTGGGAGGGTTTAACCTAATTTACCTACTGCACTGTGTTCGCCTTTTGCTAATATCATAGATTTAAACGAGTTAACCGGTGAGCCTCAACCGGGGACTCACTTCAGGTGCATAACATAGCACTCGGCATGGGGGCTCTTGCTTGTGTAATCTTTATATCCATCCCCGTAGTGCTGGTACTCTCTCCAGTTTGTTATTCTCGATTCTAAACAGTATCGCCCCACTTGAACGCGGATCAAGGAGGGCACAAGGCTGTAAGAGTACGTGCTCCAGTGAGTCCAAATTGTCCGGTGGATGAGTCATATCTTCCCAAGGTCATTCAATTTCGCAGATATAAAAAGCTAAAAGAGTAGACCACCTTACATTAACACATATTCTACGGGACTTCCAATCGGTCTGCTGCTTGACTACCCTACCGGTATCCATATTCCCGTATGATTACTTGACAGCACTCTAAAATCATGGCTTCATCACTCGCTCCCCAATTCTTCACGCCCCTCCAGTCGGTCCCCGCACCAACCAACATCCGCGGCGTAATGATGTTAACCTCGCCCTCAATAACCCACCTATTAGAGCTCTTCCACTCGCAGAACGAGGTGCGAAAGAACCCGCAGCCCCCGCACATTGCGCTTTTGATAAAGTCCGAGCACAGAGCGCTGCCCGACGACGCCTTAGCAACATTACCAAAAGTTGACACTTCAAGGATACACCCCCTGGGCGTATCAAGCCATTCCGGAGTAACTTTCATACCAGTACTGTGGACCGCCGGAAACGCCTGGCGAGTAAAGCACGGCCTTCCGGTGAAGGATTTTCACATCACCCTGAGTGCGAAGGACGAGCATGATATCGACAAGTCGATTTACTCGATCGCTGCTGAAGGAGTTGAAGGAAATGGCTTTGTCAATGGCGTATTGGTTCCGAAGGGGTTGGGTGTTGAGGTTTTGGATCAATTGTATTTATCCTCTCACATCCGTAACGAGGAGATTGCGTCGCAACTGGGATGGGCGGAGTACATCGTGACTTCCCACCCGGAGTCCGAACGCGGGTATCTGAGACTTGCGGATTTGGCGTGCAGGAATGCCTGGTGGAAAGTAGCGATGTTGAGCTACTACGCTGCATTCGCGCGCTCGTCCCCGCTCGACGGGGCGGCGGGGAGGAGGAGGGAATATTATTTGAGGAAGATTGTCTCTTGCGGGGAACACACTGAATTTGGACCGTTTCTGACGGAGGAGGAGTTAGGCCAGATATCTACTGCTCTTTCCTCAAGTCAAGTGAAAGATAGCCTCCTCCAACCCTGGCCCCCCACCTCCGGCCTGGAACTCCCGGAAGTCCAACCTGGATCCCTGGCAATCACCAGAATCCGCTACCACATCCCCCCTGGCCCAGAATTCCCGCAACTCCCTAGATTCTTCTCCTGGATCGTGCCTTTCGCCGTCGCCGGGATGTCGACCCCGCGCTCAGGGGAGGATATCCGGCACCTTTCGGGCATGGGAATCACCCACGTAATAACACTAACCTCCGAAACTCCGCTGGCGAAAAGCTGGTTTAATGTGCGTATCCGTAATACTTTAATACCGGTGGAAAACTACCACCCTCCAACGATCCAGCAGACCGACAGAGCACTACGCATAATCCTTGAGGAGCCATTCTGCAACCCCGATTCCCCGGGCGCGACCCTAGTGCACTGCGGCGGTGGAAAGGGTCGCGCGGGGACAGTCCTCGCCTGCTACCTAGCCCTATACGGGTTCACCCCACCAAGACTCAGATCCACGAAAGACCCACCAAAGCTCTCAGCAAAGCAAGCGATAGCCCTCCTTCGCACCCTCCGAGACGGAAGCATAGAAACTGACCGGCAGGAGAAGTTCATAGAAACCTACGTCTCCACAGCCTGGAAGCGCTACGGGGGCGGAGAGCCCCTCATTGGTGACGGCGGACTAGTCCCCGAACCCTCCTCGGGAACACTCGAAATAACTGGCAACATAGCGGACCCGGATATGATCCTGCTAATCGGCCTCCCGGGCGCTGGCAAGTCCGAATTCACGCGCCTGTGCAGACTGCGCAACCCCGCACTGACGGTGCTCTCGCCGGACGCGATAACCCAAGAATCGCCCTCAACCGCGGGTAGCGCTTCCGCCCGAAAAGTCTGCGAGTGCGCCGTCGGCGCATTCAAGAAGGGGACTGGTTCTGGAGGTCATAGGAAGGTGCTGCTGCTGGACCGGTGCAATCCCACCTCCGCCGAACGGAAGTACTGGGTGCAATTACTCACGTCGGGGGGGGAAGTGGTGGCGGTCTTCCTCGACTACCCATCCGAGGTGTGTCGATCGCGGGCGGAAAACCGCAGCTCACATCCCACGCTGCCGCCCTACCGTGCTGCGGGGGCGATATCCAGCATACAGGCTGCCATGCAAGCGCCCACCCTGACCGAGGGATACTCCGGCATCGCGAGAGTCACGTCAATACGCTCTGCTAGGGAGCTAGCGGACACGCTCTTCCAGCCCCTATCCATGAAGAAATTCCCCAGGACCAGGCACCTACTCAACCTCGGCAGCGCGACCCGCGACGACCTGATCATTCCCGAGACCGATTTGCCCAGGTACTTCTCCCGCAGTGTGACCATCGAAGAAAAGGTCGACGGTGCAAACCTAGGCTTCTCACTCTCATCCGATTTGTCCATACTCGTGCAAAATCGATCGCACTATGTGAATGCGAGCGACGCTGCCCAATTTGCGCAGTTGGATCGGTGGCTGGGCTTGCACGGCCCTACCTTGGTCTCCGTGCTACATCGTGACCCTTCGCTCCCCGAGAGGTTTGTCTTGTTTGGGGAATGGGTTGCTGCGCTGCACACTGTGCACTACATCACGCTCCCGGACGTCTTCCTGGCATTCGATCTGTATGATCGCCTCGAGGATAGATTTGCCACTCCTGGAATTTTGAGGAGTGTACTTGCTGGGAGTGGGATTCACGCTGTGCCGATTCTGTGGGAGGGGGGCGTACTAGATGAAGGGGAACTATTGAGGTTCTTGGACCGCAAGAGCGCGTTCGGGGAGGAGGCGGTTGAGGGGGTGGTTGTTCGGTGGGATTCCGGTGAGAGAGCAAAGGTGGTTAGGAGCGGGTTTGTTGCTGGGAGGCATTGGAGTAAAAATACGTTGGTCAAGAACGGGGTGGTTGAGGTGCACGAGTGATCTGGCGTGATGGTGGTTCTCCAGTTGTGTGGCAGTAACAGTAATACTATGATAGGTTTTGGAGTCTGGATTATTTGAATGAGGAGATAATGAGACACCGAGTTAGTGATAAAAGGACTTTGTAGGATTTCGCGAAAAAAAAACTTAGGTCCTGCTGGGAGTCGAACCCAGATTACGGGAATCAGAATCCCGGGTGCTAGCCATTACACTACAGAACCGCTGCCACAACTTTTAACATATGACATGGTGAGCAATAGGGTAGGCGAGTTCAGGGCCCATACTTAGCTGCTCCCCTTTTGGATTCGAATCGGGTGGTGAATGAAAGGGCCTTCCTTGTAGTTCACATGCACAAATTATATTATCTACATAAGTCGAGTCTAACGAAACTTTTCTGCGCCATAAAGTACACCACCCACTATCCAAATACCCAGATGCGCAAGAACGGGAAAAAGCAGTGCATGAAACCCCCCCCCCGAAAAGAGGTAGGCAGGCGAGAATCTACGGCTAGAGGAAAATTAAATATGTTAGAGTAAAAACTGCAAGCCACGAACCTGGCACTCTCTCGACAATAGAACGATCCCCCCCCGATGTGCTAAAGCAAACTGTACTTTGTAGATAGAAACTCATAGTTTCTCACCCGGCTATAGAAATAGGTCCCTGAAGAGGTTCGGGTGGGTGTGGTGACATAAGCGCATTACCCTCTTATGGGATTCTCCCCGATTGTGGGGGTTGGTGCTCAGAAAAACTTCTGTGAGTAATGTATACCAGAGGGGAAGGAACGGCGGTAAGCTGCACAATGAGTATCTCCTACACCTCGAACCATTCTCTGGGGTTTACCAATTTGTGAGACTGCAGCAGCGTTACCACTCTCCGACACGAACGAGCAGCGGCAAACGAGAGCGGTGTTCGGCCGGAATTATCTGGCTTGCCGGGATTAACTTCCCGTCCGAGCAGTGATTTCGCCACTCCCTCATGTGCATTCTCAGCAGTAAACGAGATCGGTGTTTGGCCGGAATTATCTGGCTTGTCGGAGTCGACATCTCCTCTCCTGAGTAGTATTTCCACCACTCTCTCATGTCCACCACCAGGGACGTGCGAGAGAGGTGCTCGGCCATAATAATCTGGCTCGTCGGGGCTGACCCCTTCCCGTGCAGTAGTGATTTCACTACTCCCTCATGTCCATTCTCAGCGGCAAACGAGAGCGGTGTTTGGCCCGACAGTTTGCCTTGTCGGGATTGACCTCTTCAAGACACCTACCTGGACCGCCGATTCCGTGTGGGCCGCTCCAGAAAATTAACGTGGCATCGGAAATTTTAAAACCTCTGTGGATCGTATCATACCTCAGATACATATGCAGTTTGCGCTGGGCAGCGTTTTGGTGGAATCACTCCAGCCAGGGCAAAGCGCATAGGTTGTACGGCGAATATGTAGAAAAAGAGAAAACCTATGGCACAGTATGAAAACTACCACCGCGCCATGTGATAAACTTAGAAATTGTGTGTGATGCTTGACATATATATGACCTACTCGCCCCGTACGCCCGTACTGTCAACCAAAAAAAAAAAAAAGAAGGTAGTTTCAGCGGCACCTGTGAGAATTTGCAGAGTCTCCATTGTTATTCTGATTTGTGAATAGCTGACGTATCCCCTCCGGGACCCACATAATGACCTGCCCGTACTTGTGAGCTCCGTCAACCTCAAATTGGTGTGCCGGTAAGTGGGAAAAGGCTCTCGCCATATCTCTTTTCCAATTTCTCTGTGATCTCCAGTCGCCAGATGCGCACTCTGGTTTCTCATATCGCTCAACAATATCTTATCAAACTGTGGCTCCCCCGGCTGGAGAGCCAACCACTCGTGCTCCGCCTCCGATTCACGCAAAAGAGGTGGAACAACAGAGGGCTGTAAAATCTGCTGGAGTATACTCAGGATGTCGTATGGAAAATCCGAGTTCCATGGAACAACAACCTTTGGTTCCTGCTTATTAGATTTCAATTGAGACCCTAGTGGTTTTGGCCCCAGAAAATTTTGAGTTAATCTTGGCAGTTAGTGCAGGTTGACGGTATTTTAAATGATATTGTCCGGGGACAAAATTAACTAGCTCTCAACGGCAATGGCAACGCTCCCCTCCTCATCACCCCGCTCCCTCAACACTTCCTAAAGAAATTGCTCTACACCAACCAAAACCAAACCAATTTACTTAATTCTTTTTTTTTCAATAAACTATGCCTCCTATTCTTCACAGTCATGCCAAACAGCCTATTCCCTCCAAGCACCTTTCTGAGTTTACAAGGGGACGAATTCTCGGGTTACATGAGCCTCAGATGACAAATCACCAAATTTCCCACTACTTTGACATTCCTCTCAGTACTGTTAAAAGCACATTTGCAAAGAGAGATCAAGAGGGCAAGGAGAATGAAGGTAGAAAAAGACATCCTAAAACTACCAAGTTGCAGGACGATGCTATAGTAGAGGAAGCTCTCAAAAATCGCCATACCAGCTACTCTGAGATTGCTGAGAGAGTGGCTTCCAATGTTTCTGCTAAGACTGTGAAGAGAAGACTCGCACAAAAGCATCTTAAAAAGTGGATAGCACAAGAGAGGGTTCATTTGGATGAGGATCTAGCTCAAAAGAGATTGGAATGGGCATTAGCCCATAGGAATTGGACAAGGCAGATGTGGAGAAGGAAGGCAATGTAGGGGGATGAGGTAGCTGTAAAGAGGGGAGGAGGAAAGAGAAGAAAATGGGTATTTAGATACCCAAAAGAAAAGTGGAATAAGGATTGTGTTGAACCTACTGCTAGGAAAGGAGAGAGAAAGATTAGTCAGATGATGACTGGTTGTTTCTATGGTCAAACTCATGGTCTTTTTTTACCTGTTTTTCCTGATCCTACTTCTGCTGGAGGTGGAGTGACTGGAAAGTCAATTATTGATGTTTATGATCAATATTACTTTCCAGGGATATGGGAGGATATCAAGGACGCCATGTTGGGGAGGAAGAGGTATTTTTGATCATTGACAATGCTAAGACTCACTTGCCTTTCAGGAGATGGCTCAGGAGAAATGGAATTTCTCTGATGGAAATTCCTTCCTATTCACCAGACCTCAATCCAATTGAAAATGTTTAGTCTCTGGTGAAAGACAAGCTTCATAAGCACTATCCTGAGCTGTTTCTCCTGAAGGGCCCTGTCAATGAGATCAAAAAGATTATAGAGGAGGCTATCACTCATTGTTGGGAACTTCTGGACCCAAAGGTTTTTGATACTTTGGCAGGATCAATGGTGGATAGGGTGGAAGCAATTATTAAGGCTGATGGATGGTATACTAAATATTAATTTCTACTATGTATTTATATTTTTTAATTTTCTTTTAGGTTTTCATAATAGTGGGTTGGTAGGGGAGTGTGGTTATCATCACCAAAGATTTTCCGGCCGTTGACAGCTAGTTAATTTTGTCCCCGGACAATACAAAGGTTTTACTCAGCCTTGCTTCCTCACTGACGCATTTTCACCAATATCTGCATTGGCGGCCACGCCGATAGCGCATAAAACAGAAGGCATATTGTATTTAGGGACGTGATGGGTATTCGTACAGTGGGCAGGAAGATCTTATCTGTGCTTTGTGGACAATCACCGAGCTCGCTACTCCACCACCACATATATCATATTCCCGTCTGGCTACACAAAGTGTATATTACATAGGAGCAGATGTATGAGTACTGTACTATGGTGATCTGGAAAGATATTTTGCCCTCTGATTCCTGAAAAAAAGAAAAAAAGAAAAAAAACCTTTATTTAGTACCTTTTGCCTATTGTTCCCCCTCCCATGTTCCACCACTGGCCCAACGCCCCTGTTGTTCTCGTATCATATGCCTGAGCGAATTATAGGATATAGAAATTTGAAACCGCACGCATTCATAGCATCCCATTGAAATTGCTCTCCTGTCGTAACGGTCACTACCAAGAGACAACTAATATTAATGCCACCTTGTTGGTAACATATTGTCAGGAACGTGGCTTAGCGAGGAAACGGTTTTCACGTGACACATGGTTATGAGTCACAGGTATGTTATTGTTTCATGCATATAACCTATTAGGGTTATATGATTAGTTATGTGTGGGATTTGTGATGCTTTCACACATGGCTCAAGTATGAGTCATGGGACATACGCCTGACGAGTATGCCTTACGAGTGTGCCTTACGGACAAGCCTTGCACATATGATTTATGTTTCGCACATGACCTCATTATGATGTCATGGGTTTCGAGCATATGACTCAGTCGAGTCATATGACTTGTTTATTGTGTTATAATTGGTTTATGAGTTTCGCACATGACCTTGTTATAAGGTCATGGGTTTTGAGCATGTGATCACTTTGGTCACATGACTAGTTTGTTTTGATTTGGTTTTACACATGTGACCACTTTAGGTCACATGATTAAAGGCAGGAAGAACACTATATAAGGAGGCTGATGCGGCCGAGGAAGATAGGTTCTTCATGATTTGTTCTAAGTACTTTTCCTTGTCCTTGCCGTCACTACGCCCCGAGCGTTTCTTTCGCCATCATGATGGGCCTTGATGCCTTTGATTCTGGGGGAGATATCTGAGTTCGCTCAGTAGTTCCTGGGGTCTTTGGTGTTGAGGTCTGTTAGGTGTTGAGTGGCGGATAACTTGTTTGCGTCTCGTTTCGTTGGACTGGTTATCTCACGATACCAGCACTTCGAGCAGTCATCACGGTCGCATACGAGCCCCTTTCGGTAAAATGTCTACGGCTTCCTGTCTATCATTTACTCGCAGGCTTCGCGTTCGATTGGGGGGATTGAACATTGTGTTTGGGGGGATCACCCGTGTCGTTCTTTGGGCCAGCTCATGTCTTTTGTTGGGTTTTAGCGGAGTCCTTAGTTCACGCGATACAAAACGCCCTTGGGTTAGACTGATGACCTTCCCAAGTATCAACTCGTCGTACCGGCCGCATCATTTCCTCAAGGGAGGGGGCCTCACCGGCCCCTCCCTGCCTCGTTACTTTATGTTTCTACGGTCGGAATCCTACGATGTTGTTTATCACTGTTCCCTTGGAAGTTTTGTCCTTGCGGCATATACGGTGGTTCAGTCAGGTGTCACC